AACACAAAAAGAGACTCTGCTCAAAGAGACAGTAAAATTACACTCTCGTCTGGCCTAACCGACCAAAACACGATATCGCTCGAAGTACATGTGCGCATCATGTGATACGAGCCCGATCCGCTATTTCGAGGGTGAGCAATTCTTTAAAAAAACTGAAACTAAAAAAAATGTTTTTGCAAAATTCAATAAAAAAACATCATTACTAAAACTGATCTCACTAACAAGATATAGATTTATTATGCAAGGTAAAAAGATTTCTTAGAGAAAACGGATTGAGCAGCAAAGCGAGATGAACACTCGACGACATTTTAACTCTGGAATGGCAAATCTATTGGTTCGTTGCCGTAGTCTCAACCCTTACAGGATTTAAAGTATAGACCCAACATTGCAACAAAGGAACTCATTGAAGAAAAACAATGGCCGACTCGATGATGAGTTGACATACAGATCCTATTCACTTGGCGCTTCACACGGAAAGGTCAAACTTCATCTTGCAAGTAGTCTCGCTCTAGCTTAACAAAATCGACTCATCATTGCATCAATCTGAAATCTTGACAAGATCACTCAAGACGATCTAGGATAAAACGAGACCCTTTTCTGGAACACGGACAACTGCCCTTCTTCTCTCCAGGAAGACAACTACATCTCTTCCTTTTTCAAGCAGTCACTGCTTCAAAAGAACAAGACTCCAAAAAAAACTAAGAAATCTCCCCATCCATCCTTCAATACAATAAATAATCAGAAACCTAAAAACTCTCTAAACCTCGGATGAGTGGAATCAGTTTAAAACTAGTATTTAAAACCAATTATATTTTTGATAAAACAATCTCTATAAAATATTTCTTACTAACCAATCGTGATCCATATTTAACACTGACGCAGTATATATTTACCTGTAGTTTCAGCACCAGAATAATTTAAATCTAATTTAGACTACAGTTTTTCTCCTTTGGAATAAAAGCCAGTTACCTAACCCGCAAATACCAGTATACATTAGATCTACTGAGACTGAGAGATATGTGAGTAAGAGTAAGATCGGTGTTAGACTAAGAAGTTTCAGGTGTAACTTATCTGAATTTACTGAATGAGTAAGCTACTCCAGGCATAAACTCAAATGCCCGCCAAAAACATTTTTTTATTGAACTTTGAAAAATTCCCAAAAAATCCCAAAAACAGTTTTTTTTTCAAACATTCGCCTGTAGATCAGATAATTTTGCTTAAATGGTCTTTTTGGTGTGCCAGGAGAAGCCAGAAAACTTTTTTTATTGAACTAAGAATAATTGACAACAAAATTCAAATTTTCATGGAGATTTGCCCCTCTAATATATTCGCCCCGAATCTTACATCTGCTCCTGCACAAAATCTGAATGAAATTGAAAATACCCAATAAACGCCAATTAAATACCCAATAAAGTTTTTCCCTAGTAAAACACAAATAATGTCTTCTTCCGGTTGAAAAAAAACTGAAAAGACCTTAGTGAGAACAAATCATTTTGACTTGAGCTCTCCTGCTTAGTAAAATCGATTATTTTACCCTAAATTGCTTCAGGTAAAGTCATTCTCTAGCTCAGGTATGTTGTCATAAAAGTGAAGCCTGCACTGGTATCCTGAAATAGCTGAGCTAGAGAACCGTGTTGTCTGAAATAGTTCTGAGTATAAAATAGTTTTGAAACGCTCAGCAAAAGTAGCTGTAACAAAAATATTTTGAAGAACCCCTAAAATCAATTCAGACGATTTGACAACAGTAGACACAACGTTTTATTCAGAACAAAACTCAAGACATTACTGGTCGCTCTTGATTTCAATTTGAATCAATGTTTTCATCACTGAGGAAACCCATGAACGCATTGGAGTGGGTATTTCTTGATTTGGCGTGTTTTCAGTTTTTGATTCTCGAAATAGATTTTTTGAACATTTTTGCATTATGCCCTCGTCAAACTTCCTTTCAAATAGGGTAATGAATACTTAAACGGTTTAATTATACACGAGTTAATTGGAAAGGATATATGAGCCCAAATTCCTTCCTATTGTTATGGGAGCTTGATGGGGTTATGGCTGGCGTTGAATTTATAAAGGGCCTCTTCATTGCGAATTGATTCAAAGTCACAAAACTGTTTTTCCCTTGAGAATTTAGCAAAGGATTTTCTGTTCCTATTATTGGAAAAGTGTACGTCATGGGAGTTCAGGGTAACAATATAGAGGTTGATGGTAACAATTAGACTGTCTAATTGAAAAAACTATATCTGAAGAGTAGCTCTCTGCGAAGTAGTGAATTTAGGGGGAAAAGATCCTCTAACTACCGAAAGTGTCCGCCTTTGGTACTTCTTTGCTGCCTCTCCATTTTTGACTGAACGGTTCTAAAGGCACCTGTGGCGCCAATGTACACGAATTTTGAGGGCTAGTGTGCATAAAAAAAACGTGCTTTTTTGCGGCGAAAACTTCCAAAAGGTGGTGACCAAAACGGCATGTTTTTGATACGTTTTTTTTAAACTTTCTACTGCAGCGTAAGTTTTTTAATGCCGCGCAAAAAAAAGGGTTTTAAGTTTTTCGGACAGATCGGGAAATCAAGTTGGTCGCCTTGAAATAGAGACTAGAAAATATTTAGTTTTTTGCGAAAAGTCCGCTCCTAAGAAAATATCTGATCTTTATTTTCCTAAGAGTACAGTGCTGATTTAAATTAACCGGACAAAACGCGTTAAACTTGAAATTTAAAACCCGTTTTTCTCAAATTGGGTTGAGTTTAGGTGAAAACTTATGAAGACAAAACTTGCTTAAAATTTTAGCAGAATTAATATGGTTTAATTTATTTTGCGAAATTCGGGCCCGAAATTTTGCCCCAAAAATGGGTCATTTTGGTTTTTCTTAGTCAATCAAAAATTACGCTGAAATTACCCAGTCGATCACAAACATAATTATATCAAAGTGAGCCCCTCACGTAGCCCAACAAACTTTAAGAAGGGTATAATCTCCAAAAAAGAATTGCAAAAGGTTTTTTTGAGTACATAATTCACAAACGCCTATCGTACATTTTTCATATATGGGAATTGTATGACAACTATTTTTTCCTTAAAAAATGTTCGAAATGTTCGGCACTCATAAGCGGAGATTTAAACTGTCTCAGAATTCAATTGGGGCATGCTATTCAATTGGGGCAAAAAAGTTCGAAATATTTATGCATGGCGAAATTTTTGAGGAGTTTCAAAATTCCTAATTTAGCCAACTTGGAATAATTGAATTGCTATACACTGCGTAATTATAATATGCGTAAGATGAAAGTTAATGCGTTTTACACTGAATTGAGGCCAGCAATTTAATCCTATTTTCACAGAACGAGACGCGAAACACACCTTTAAAATTTAAAAATCGCAAAATAGGTACAATAAGTTCCTTTTGTTTATTTAGGGGCAGAGAAAAAACAAGACTGCTTGTATCATGGCGAGGCCTCGAATGTTCCAATTGCTTTTTGAGGTCTATGGAGCAGTAATAACAGGAGAAAAAAATAATTAAAAAATGAAAATTTTTGAAAAAAGCGATTTTTAGTGAAAATCATCCCCACACACGCCATAATTGATATGAAGTGACAAGTTTTGCTCCTAGTAACAAATCAAATATGGCAAATAAGCTTTCTTTAACCAATTTGGAACGATTTCTAACACGGACCAAATCGCCGCTTACGGTTATTAGCGCGAAATAAATCGCGCGTTAATTGTCCCAAATTGGCCAAAATGACATTTTAAACCCCCATATCATTACAAAAATGATCACAGCTAAAATATCTTTTCAAATGTAAGCTCACAACAACAATACATGTTGAATGCTACAAAAAAACGTCAAAAATGTTTATTTAAAAAGTCGAAATTGGTCTGAAGAAAAAAAACCGGAACAACAAGTATCTTTAAAAAATCGGAAAGTCGGAACACCAAATTTGTTTGAATTACTTAATGGAAATTGAGTATCGTTTTTGTGCAATTAGCTTGGATATCTCGGATTTAGTTACAAGTCGGTCGTACTGGGTCTCTAGACACGAAATTGTAATGAAATTGATGGACTGATATAGTTGAAGCTTACATCAGTCCATCAATTTCATTATAAATTCGTGTCTATAGAATCAGTACGACCAATTGAAACTTCGAATGTGTGCAAATTAATTGCACAAATCCGATAAATACCATAACATCTACATTCAAGAACAACCGTTATTTTTGACAAATTGCCAAATTCAACACACATTCTGTCTCAAAAGATACAGTGCCAACACAAAAACACGATACAACAGGACACCGATTGGTTTCCCAGTTTTGATAATTTTTCTATTGAAACAATTGGGATCGAATTTTTTGCCACTTCCTGTGACCAAACTCGAGTGAAATTTCTTAAGCGATACTGAAACTATTACAACGTTAAGTTCTAACAAGACTGCTCGTATCAGGGCGAAGCCCTGAATGTTTCAACTGCCTGATAACGTGTATGGAGCAGTAATAATATTTTAAAAAATGAATGTAAAAGATAGAATGAAAAAAAATGTATAACGAGATTTTTTGTGAAAATCATCCCCACAAACGCCATATTTGATGTGAAGTGACAGGTTTTGCTCCTATTAACAAATCAAATATGGCAAATAAGCTTCGTTCAACCAATTTGGAACGATTTATAAGACGCATTAAGTCTCCGCTGACGCTTCAATAGCGCGTAATATATCGCGCGTTAATTGTCCCAAATTGGCTAAAATTACGATCTTTAAACCCCCAGAACTTAGCGAAAAATGATCTTAGGTGAAATATATTTTCAAATTTAAGTTCATAACAACAATACCTTTTGAATTATATAAAAAGATTCCGTCAAAGATGGCTCAGTAAAAAGTCGAAATTTTTCGATAGAAAAAACCCACCCCGATCCCCCCCGATCACGTTACATTCGTTAATAAAGTCGGAACAATGATAAAGGTAGTCCATGGAAGAAAACAGAAGTGAAATGTGGATTGTTTGTGTATTTATATGTACCGTGTGCTGTTGGAGGAGACAGTGGATGCAATACCGTGTGCTGTGGACTCGGAGATGAGAGACTTGAGAGTCTTCTGCACACTCATCCTCGTCCTCACTTCTCCCCCCTCCCCCTCCCCCTCCCCATCCCCATCATCCTTGCCACCATCCTCTTCCTCTATCTCTCCTCCATCCTCCTCTAGTGCACCTGCAGGGAAACAATGAATGTCAAGTTGCGTCTTCCTTCAGGGCAGTTTCTGCTCTTACCAAGAAGACCGAATGGCCTAAAACTAAACTAGCCAATCATAATTCAGCTTTTGCAAATCTAACTAAAGGTGGCGAGTCTCGCGGTTTTCTAAAAGTGACATCAAGTAAACATTATGTGTTTGGTCCATGACGGAACATGCATCTAAATGCCAACACTTATTCTTGTTGAGTTCTTGTTCCGGACGAGCTGTGGTTCAAAATACGTAAAACGTGAAAACAGCATATTTGTTCACTTAATTACCTAGAGGTTACACGTAATGAAAATTGTACTTTGTGAAATGTGTACTTAAAGAGACATCGCTTGTTGAACATGGTGCCTACGCCTCTCAATCACAAGGTCGGCGGTTCCACGCCATTGGTGCTAAGCCTGGTCAATCAAATTTTTGAAATTTTTAAAACTTATTTTCGAACGAGAAAGCTGAGACCGTCAAAATATATCAAGTTTTGATCCAAAAAATTAAAGCATGTCTGAACTGCGTTCAGCAGGGTTGAACAAGTTTTCCTTGAGTCGAGAAAGTCGAAACATAGCAAAATTTGATTGAGAAATCGAACCACGGAGAGATTTGGTCGATACTGTCGAAACATAAGTCGCCTACATCGGCCCTGGTACCTGTTTGTTGCTCAAAAGGGGGCAAATTTTTGAATTCCGTGAACTATCCAACAAATGCCTGCTATGTTAGTGCAGTATAGTTCAAGGACCACCTGCAATTATTGCTGCGATGAGTTCTCGATTCGAGATTTTAAACCTACTTTGAAGCAAGATTTGAGCCGTTTGAGTGATTTTTTAGATGATTGCGCTCAAAGAAGTCTTTATTCAAACTGAGCGATTTGAGTGAGCGGCTTTTTCATAAAAACCGCTAAAAAACTTACCTAGATTCTTACCTACATCTTTTGTTTCTTAATTTATTTTGATTTATTTTAACGTTTGATTTTTTTAACATTCGTTTGATTCGTTTGATTTTTTTAAGCATATCTAAAGATTGCACCAGAATTTGAATTTCATTAATACCTAAGAAAAGTCCTTGGCGGAAAAGGGGCTAAAATTTTTGTGACATTTGTTTAGGTCAGTCAACTTTCGAAAAAATGCAGAATATTTACGCTTGTGACGGTTTGTATTCAGATGAAACTCGGCGATAACTAAAAAATTAGTTTCTACCGAAAAAAAATGATCTCTTTAACTTTTATCTGAAAAAAAGATCAAATATTTTTACAATTTTTATTCCAAAGTTGGTGAATTCTTACAAATATGGTGGATGTGATAAGACTTTATTACAACCATTTCGACCGTAATCTGGTTTGTTTCGCCCAGCTCCACCAAAATTCGTTATAATTAGACCCTCTGAACCAAATTCGGGTGTTTTTTGGCGTCTCAACCAAAAAAAGTTTGATCGACTGTGCTCGACTCAAACTAGATGTTTTAAACGTATGAACAAAACTTGGGCATGTTTCAACTTTCTCAACAAAATATGTGATCTGCTGTGCTCAACCCAAGCCGGAAACTTGTGCAATTAGTCAATCAAAAATGGGTAGTTTATATGGCACCGGGTTAACCAAATTTTTGTCCTACAATTTTTCAAATATAAAAAAAATATTTGTCATATAGCTCCATATAATTCCATACGTACAGAAAATTATATAAAATGTCTTCATAAAAATTGTATGGCGAGCTCTTTTCCGAGTTAATGTTTTCCGAGTTTTGCTAAGTTTTTTGTGTTCTGTCCGAAAATAAAATCAGCAAGGTTTTTCCCAAAAACCACAAAAGGTTGTTTGAAAACGTACATAAGCATATCCATTGGAGACTTTCTATTGGAGTTTTATTTTAAGTCTCCGGATGTTTCATGGCGCAGTCAGCAGGCGTAAATTCTGATGACAGAACAGAAATAATAGGAGTACCAGCATGCTGGGAAAACCTTCCCCATAACCCCTATCCATAAAAAAATTAGATGTGACAATTCTTTTTGGCAATCTCGCCAAAAGAAGGATGTGATCCTAATTTCCTACTTTCACCACCAGAAACAGTACACGACGACCCCCCAACCATGCTAGAGTCAGTGCCAGCCTCAGAATAATCAGAAGACGCAAACAACAGAGGGGCAACCGACACCGCTTTTGTTCCGAGAAACAACGAAGCGAACAAACAACGAAGGAGAAAAGGTGAAGTATAGGGACTAACAGTTATTTATTACCATGAAGCCGATTTTTCGCACTTGGTTATGAGGAGAAAAACAATTTCTTCAACAAAATCTAAATATAATCTGAGTATAGTGCATTTTTGTGATTTTATAGCCTTTGTGAAATACTATTCAAAAAAAAACTATACAGTGAAGAGGATACAACTTTACAATGCATATTCGAGACCTATTTATTGCAAAAATGAAAATTTCCGAGATTGAACGGGAACTGTGCGTTAGACCGGGGCAACGATAGATGACACCTTGAAAGCTACTTTACTCCAAGAAAAGGATTACAAAACAGCTAGTGTCCTACGAAGACAGAACGCTTTCGGTAACCATAGTGCTAATCAAAATTTCAAGATTAAACATGAACCAACCATGTCAATACAATCCAAAAAAGGTAACTCCAGGAAAGAAAGTCGGAAAATTAATCATTAAAATCATCAAACATCGGTAAATTCAATTTCATAAGCTATTTTTTGTGGCATTAAATTAGCCCCTGAACATAGAGACAAGTATGCTACTCCAACAGTAAATTGTAACTTATGTGAGAAAAATGGCCAATTTGCTACTTGTTGCAATTCTGCAAAACCACAAGTTGACAACGTCGCGTCAGATTAGGTTGAAGAGGAAATGACAAATCTAATCGACTCAGACAGCGAGCCAGAGTATTCGGTGCTCAGATTCAGGAACAGCCTCATGAAGAAAACTCGGTCAAGGAATTAGAGATTATAAGCACAGCAACTGGCAGAACGAACAGCCTCAGAGTCACCATTAAGCGAAAAACTTACTATTCAGTACAACCAGTAACACGGGTAGCCCAGAATCATTCGTCGATAAGAACACAACAGATGTCTTACTAAGGAAGAACTCGAACGCAAAATGTCCAACAATTGATAAACACCTAACTTCAATATCATATGAAGATTATAACCTCAAGGCATTCAAAATATTCGGAAACTTAGTGGTCGACATCAGCTCGAACGGCTGGATAATGAAGAAAACCAGATTCCTAATATCGGAAAATAGAATGAGGTGCTTCGGGGATAATATATTCAACCACACCTAAGAATCGTAACAAAACAGATGAAGCCACACCCAAAAACAGTAGCCAAGATTAGTGAGCCAGAAAAACTACGACAATCAGAAGTTTTCAAGAATTGGAAAGGGTACTACATAAAAAAGTGCAGAGATCGTTTTAACAGGATAGGCAAGCCAAACAACCCCATTGTCCACACACTTTTTAATTCACCCTCAATACCTAATCGAGAGAAAGGCAGACGTGTTTTAATTCATATACAAGAGAAAGTGAGAGCTGAGGTAGAGAAACAAATAAAGAAGAGGCACATCATTAAACGCAATAAGTGTACTAGTGACCATTTCAGGGCCGCTAGTACACTAATCCAGTTTCATGATGTGCCTCTCCTTTATTAGTGTCTCTATCTCAGCTCCCACTTTCTCTTGGAAGGGAAATGGAAGACGTCTGCCTTTCTCTCGAATGATTAATAAATTAATTATAGTAGTGAATACAGCAAAAAAGAATGGGTCAGTAAAGCTAGCAATGGACGCCAAACCAATGAAAGATCAAACATACATGCATAAACTCCAGGAGTCCAACTTATTAGAAATACTAGAATCAACGGCCTAAATCAATAGATCAGAATCAGAGGGAAACGTTTGGTTCACATTTTTAGATTTCAAAAACGCATTTAGTTTGTAACATTTAGATGAATCCATCAGGAAACAATACAACATTAGCATCGTAAGTGCGGAACTCACGGTTACATACAGATTCAAGATAAGTTTTTACGGCTTCACTGACATTCCAGAAGGTAATTGAGTACACATTCAGTTGTATTCCAGGTTTGTTCTGTTTTCGAGGTTTTCTAGACGATACACTAATTGTGACCAAAGATGATATTTTGAACCAGAACAGGACGTTCAAAGAAGTACTAAGGAGAACAGATACAGAATGATTCGCCTTAAAGTTAAGCAATTGCGAATTTTCCAAAAAGTCTCTTACGTGATTAGGATTTGAATCTGATGCAGTTGGTATACGATCAAAACATTCTAAACTAAAAGCATAACTAACCCCATCAAAAACTCTGGAGCAATTCAGATCTTTTGTGAGGGAACTAAATCACGTTTCACATTTTAAACTAATTTTACAGATGACGACAGAAGCTTTAAGTTCATCTTTAAAACTAAGTGATGAGCTAAACTTTGTTGGGGAGAAAGCCAGGGCGAAGCATTCAGAACAATCTGAAGGAAGATTAGTGATATCGCTAAAACATATCATTACAATGCAGCTAGAAAATCGAGAGTAAAATGCAATGCCAGTCAAAAGGGACTAGGAGCTGTGTTTAGGCAGGAAGTCGAACCTGCGATTTGGGTGCCAATCGCATTCACCTCAGGATCTTTGAATGCCGCCTATTGAATATATAGAACGAATGAATTGAAATTAATTGCTGTAGACCGGTCATGCGAGTGTTTCAGAAAATACTTATTAGGAAATCGATTGCATGTTCCAACCGGCCATAAACCCATCATATCAGCGCTCACAGAAAATAAAGGAAATAGAACAAAACAATCTAGGCTCATAAGATGGACAGACAGATTGCTGTCAATCGACTATACCATCTCCCACATAGCAGGAGAGAAAATTGGCATAGTTGATTATTTGTCAAGGGACCCAAAGTTACCTGCTCCTTCGACATCAAGTTACGGTGAACAATTTGTTATCAGATCAATCAGAAACTTTGACGCAGCTTGTCAAAACATGTCATAGGCAAACTCATGAAGTCGCAAGACGGCATCGAATTAGAAGATATCAGCAGCATCGAATCAAATCTCAGTACCATCACCATAAGAGGGCGTCGTCGATGAAAGTATCAAATTCAACCGATCAGATACGTTCCGCCAATTTCCCATGGGACCACTAGAGGGCGGCGAATTATCGGACAAAATTTTCGACCCTTCAGGAAGCGATGCGTGTATTATGCAAATTTATGCATTGATTTTCATCAATCACAGAACAGCATCGCTCATTCAGTTAGTTCGACTCGAAGTTCATTGTTTCCGATCTTATTGTTCAATTCAATCAACCATAGTCTTGTCAGTTTTACAATAACTGCCAAATTTTGCCTTGTTTCTAATTCACAAACTATAAATTCTAATCTAATTCATTCAGTCAAATCTCATTTTCAATTTTTTAACCCTAATCCATTTTTAACATTTTGAAGTTACTTGAAGTTTTTTATGCCCGAATCTTCACAATCCAAAATTACTACTAATTTTCAGAAAATTTTATCTGAAAACAAATTCAATTTACCCTCGGTATCTGAGAGAGTAGTCAGAAATCTCAAACGGAAAGCAAAAAGCCCAAAAAGGAGAATAGCCAAACTGTCACCGACGAACAATTTAAAGGTAAGAAACAATTACGCCAATGTGTTAGGGTCACTTAAGTTGAAGAGGTTCCAAAAGACAGCACGTCCTAAGTATAAGATCAAAAACGATATTAGCATTACCACGAGAAAGCAGCCGCTCGACGCTGAATTACTCCAACAACTAGTTTCAACTCGACGCTCCATTTACTCGACGCTGATTTATTGGGCAAACTAATTTCGGAGGACAGCCACTTAGCTCCCCTTTGTCAATGGGTACGGAAGGATTTCCACATCTAGTTAGTTATCTCTCGGAGTTCTGGGACAAAGCAACCATCATAACTTATTGCGCTATTACTGAATCAGCGGTGCCCTGATTTATTTCGCAATCCCTATGTGCCTGTTGAAATCGCAATCCCTATGTGCCTGAGAAAGGCAGTATTGAACAGACTACATCGGACTCACCCGGGACAAGACTCAAAAATCGACGCAGCGGTCTACTTAAAGTGTCGGAAGATGCACAGGGATGTAATCAACTTAAGCCAAAACTGCAGATGGAGTACCCTCTATGGTAATAATATTAGGTTATCAAAACTGTTCAATTCATCAAAACGTCTACCCAAACTTTCCGGCCCAAACGAGGAGCTCCAACTTGATTTCGCAGGACCAACGATAGACAAAGAAGGGACAAAATCGTATGTTCTAGTACCTGTATACAGGTTTTTAAAATATCCTTCAACACTTATTACAAGGTCTACCGGAGCAGACAAGATCATAAAATTTCTAAGAGTTTCTATTCAAATCCATAGCATACAAAAATCTATCGAATGGACCAGTTTTCAGAGATTGAAAACAAAAAAGTTATAGATTTTTGCAAGCAGAGGGGTATTTTTTTGCCAAGATGGAGACCACCGAGGATGTGGTTTAGTTGCACGAAGTATTCAAACTATTAAGAGGAAACTGTAAGCAATGCAAGCCGACCCAAAACTTTCGGATATCAAATCCGTAAAGGGACAAAACTTAGAAGATATATGTTGCAGTAAGCTTTCAGTTTAAAAAAAACTGCATTTGAAGTTCTTCTTAGGCAAAAATCTAGCACCTGTTTTTCTCGAATAAAGGACAAAATATTTAATTTAGATCGTGAACAACTAGCTAGAGCTATATTAACATCAAAAGAGATGCGGGAACAGTCTATTTCAGGAAAGCATTTCGAAGGCCATACCAATAGGAGAATTAGGCCAAAGAAAGACGACAATAAAAGCATTAACACTCTGTAGAACTTAGCAAAACGGCCAAAGACTGAAGACAGCTAAGAATACATCTGACGCATGCCGAAGGATCAGAGCGGGGAAACAACTCGCTGAAAGAGTCCCATTACTCGCCGCAAGCCTCAGAAACGACCTAAATCAGGGCACTCTCAGTGTTATACCCTCAACCGTTAGGTGAGGTATAATCTAGAATCTATGTAATCAAAGTCTATGCTGTTCGCTAACTGAGAATAGAGAGTTAGAAAGGTTGAGAGAACAACTTTAATTCAGTTGATAAAGTTAAGTCTGATTCGAATCTGACCTCGAAATCATGAGAGAGACAGAGACTCATAAATAACTATTGAATATGGTGTTAGGTTTAGTAGGTACTTAATTTAGATCAGACAGCTATGATTACGTTTACACAATGTTACATAAGTATATATGGTTAACGTTCAGGCTAAGAACAATCTATGTAATGTTTTAGGTAGACGGAGTTCTAATCGGTATCCAGTATATCCGTACGGATAACATTCCCCTTTGCTTTTTCTATATGATGAGCACATCATATGTCCTCCTGTTTTTCAGTAGCGTCCTTGTTTGGTGGAATGGAAGTTTTGGGGGCGTTCGTTGCCGATGATGTCTGTGGTATCTGTTGAGTGGCCGATTCGTTGCTTTTCTCGTCCTTTGCTTGTTTAATGAGACATTTAGGGCGATCTTGTCTCTCACATTCTCTTTGGAATGTCATCGAGTTTTTTGGTGGCGAGATGGATTTGAGGATCTTCATTGCGTCGTTAAAACTGTCAATGAAAGATTTGTCTGGTGAGCATGACGTTCCAGTTGGTCTGTCGATCACGTAACGTGAACTAATTGCTCGTTGTAAGGGGCTATTTTGTGAACTGCGTTGGGCTGACGTAGTTGACGTATTTAACTCTGACACTAATTTGTCACTCGGGTTACTCTGTGGTGACGTTGTGTGTGTGGTCGTTTTTGTTGGTGTATGCAGTGTTTCATTTGGCTCGGATGCATCGCCAATGCAAGTGATTGGGCCGCCTGTCCCTTCACTGGTTTCTTGAACCCGTAACTGCTCTTGTCTGTTGTGTCAATTTCGATATCGGTTGACGATTCTTGTACCGTGCCTGCCTGACCAATTGGTTCTGCGTTTTTATCTTGTTGTACTGTTATGAGACAGACTTCGTTATCCAAAGTGTTATCGGCGATTGTGTTAATTGGAATTGCATTTCCGAATTTGTGTGCAAGCGCGCTTGTTTTGGTCCTTGTGGATCTACGGCTTGGTATTGTTTCTTGTGGCGGCGTATTTTTCCGGTCCATCTTTTTGGCTGGGGGCATTTTTTAGCGATTGCGTCATATCTTGGATAATAGAATCGTCCGATGAGATTGAAATTGACGTTTCACACTCAAATTCTATGTGCTTGTTGTCCCTGCGTACTTTCTCTGGGCTGCCCTTTCCTTTTCGGCTTGGCGACTTAAGATTCTTCGTAGTCGTTGGTGGGTTTTTTAACGACGGATTTTTTGATGTTGTTGGTATCGTTCTATGAATTCGATCCTGTCCTAGAGTCCTTCTGTTTGTTGTTTGCCAGATAAGTTCCACGATATTCTTTGGTGGCTTTCGTTTGGGGCTCGTAGGTGTTGATGTTTTTCTTGCCGGATTCTCTGGTCCCTTTGATGTTTGCTTTGTGATCTTTGAGCCAGTTGGTTTCGCTTGTTTAGCTTCTTTGTCTGAAATACGGGGTTTAGCTCTTGGTAAATGTTTGTATGCTACAAAGTCCTTTAGCTGTGCCGGTCTACATTTACCGTACACTCGCGGATCTGGTACAAACGCTAAACCGTCGTATCTTATTACCCTCGGTTGTTTCCCATCTTCCCGGACCCATGCAGTGTGCGGGGAGTAATTAATGATTGAACCGTTTTCGATTACCTTGAATTGTGCCCCGAATACCCCAGGATTTTTTGTTTTACGTGCTATGGTACCCAATTTTCTTGCCACTTGTTCCATAAATTTTCCTAATTTCGGATTTATGGTGTTTTGGGGTCCTTTAAATCGATCTTTTAGGAACACCAAGGGGGCTCTTTCTATTATTTGTTTTTCTTGTTGTGTAAGCCAACGAATTGGTTTTCTTGTTCTAATATTCGCTATATCATGTTGCGGGTTATCGGCGAGAAAAGACCGTTTAACTTTTTGTAAGTCATAGGGTATATTATTAAGTGGAAGATGCGCACCTATTGGGAATTTTTTCAGCAGAGCTTGGTCGAACTCCTCGTCCTCGTCAGTGTCCGAAAGTGTCACCTGCTTCTTTTTCACTATTTCCATCTGGCTAGTTTTTGCTGGTCCTGGAGTCTTACTTCGAACCGCTTGTGTAGATGGTCCCGCTGGTTCACAGGGAGGTTCGGGAAGATAGTTACTCTTGTAGACCACGCTCAGTTTGTCCTCACTATTGGTGTCCCTATTCCAAATTGCCTCGGGCGTGAGGGCAGACTTTTTGAGTATCTTTTTAACTAAACACGAAAGTTTTGTGTTTTCCCAAGAGAGATTAGAGATTTTAGGTGTAGTGCAGATATTAGTTAAAGGTGTGTTTGGTTTACGCCCGTAGTGCGCTTCAAATGGTGTAATTTTTGTTGTTGCGTGTGGGGTAATACGCAGTGTCTTGATCAATTCTGCCACACCTGACGCTATTTTGTACGGTGTGATATTTTTATCGATTTTCATAATAGCGAGACGAGTTTTTAAAGTTCTGATTAGTCTTTCTACCATGCCCAATGAGCGATGGTCGTCCACTGGAGCAAATATCAGCTTAATGTTTTTGCTTTTGCAATAGATCATAAATTTTTTAGCCCGAAACCCTTGAGCTTGGTCACACCGGATATTCCTTGGTACACCGTGATTGACAATATGTGTTTGCATAAATTTTATGATCGTATCTGCCTTGTTATTTGCTACTACTTGGGAATCGTGGGAATCTATCTACCCCAACTAGGATGTACACGTCTTTATTGTTTTCATCCGGTAGCGGTCCAGCGAAATCCAATTGGATTTCCTCGTTCGGTTCAACTACGGCGTCTAGGCTAGTGAAGTGTTTCTTACCGGATATTACCCGAAGGTTCTTACCTTTAGCGCGGCACTCCTTGCAACTCTGCGCTGATGTAACTATATCTCTATGGAGATATGGATACCAAATGTGCTTGGCAGCTTCCAGCATGCCGCCTTGTCCCGGGTGAGTTAGATGGATCGAATCTAGGATGATTTGCCTTAACTGCTTTGGTATTGCTACTCTGTCATCATAGAGTAAGACGTTGTTACGGACAGACAAACGGTCGCGCACATTGTAAAAGTAGGGTCCGTAGCAGGCTTTGATCTGATCCCACTTTTGTTGTCGTATCATATTGATCAGAGGCTGAAGGTTTCGATCACGTTTCGTGGCCGCCGCGATAAACTCCATGTCTAGTGCTTTTCGTAGATTTTTTCGAAAGAGCGGTACATCTTCCTCCTCCATAGAGATGGCTTGGCATTCTGTCGGGTGATCTGGGGGGTCTTTTTGACATAATTGATCTGACTTTTTGTTAAACGTGAAACTATCTCTCGACGGGATTACTTGGTGTCTTACGTCGCTGAATGAGAGAGTTGATTGGCACGGTTCCTCCGAGATTTCTGTGAACGATGCAAAATTGGTAGGTGGAATTGTTACCGTCGTTTGTTGTCCACTGTGACATTTCCTCAGAATTCTTTTGAACGGGGGTAGTGACATTCCTGTTTGTAATTGTCGATTCATCTTGTTGGCAACTGGAGCGCTAGCTTGTGAGGTAAGATAAGGTTGGTGATACTGAAGATTATATGAGGTTTTTTCTTTATGTAATTCGTTTATTGAGGACTGGTTCAAAATGTTTGAGTTTGACAGAGAGTGACTGTTTTCTAGAGGTTGATCAATAACAGTGAAATATGCTGCTTTTGCGTGCAAATTTGAGCGAGCAAAGTTTTCGTTCCGGTCGAGCTGTAACGTGCGTTGAACTCCGTTTGGATTTTCGATCATTTCAATGTTAGCTATGGTGCTGTCTTAGAATTCAAGGCAAGAAATGAAATTATCAATAAGTTTTTGTCCCAATACGCGGGGGGTTGTGGTTTTCCTACCGGATGGCGCGAAATATAATCGATTAAGCCCATTTTGCTGCCGGAAAGATGTTTGATGTCAAAATCAAATGGGATGAGACGGTCAATCCATCTAGTTAGGCGACTTTGATATGTTTTATTACTCCTATTGCTATGTAGAGCACTAACCAAAGCTTGGTGGTCAGTAATTAATGTAAAACGGCGGCCATACAGATAATATTTAAAATGATCAATAGCCCATACTGCAACTAGAAGTTCCAACTCGTTTACTGAATATTTATTTTCGCATGCGTTTAGAAATCTGGACGCATATGCCACCGTAGCCCATCCGTCTGGAGTTTATTGTTCAAGAGCTGCTCCGATACCATCGCGGCTTGCGTCGCAGACTATTCTGGTCTCCCGGTTATTTACGAAGTGTCAATTTTCTGTGATATTTTGCACCGCTGTAAGGATGGTTTGAAATGCCTCTTCATGTTTTTGTTCCCAAACGTAGTGGAATTTGGAAGAAGAAGATAAGAGTGGTCTCAATGGTCTACACAGTTGTGCCAAGTTTGGTATAAATTTATTTAGATGGTGGACCGATCCCATAAAACTTTTGAGTTGTTTGAAAGTTTTAGGGTGTTGTAGTTTTGATATCGCATCGGTTTTCTTGTGCATTGGTTTTGTTCCGTAATCATTTATAATGAACCCCAGCCATTCAACTTCTTTACAGCCGAATTTACATTTATTTAGGGAAATAGCCATATTTTCTGGATCCAACTTGTCTAAGACCTTTTTCAATTTATCGATGTGTTGTTCTTTAGTTCCGTGGGATATAATCAGTATGTCGTCAAGAAAAGCGAATGTATCCTTCTCGTTGTTTAACGTTAGATCAATGGCCTTCTGGAATTCTGCGGGCATATCCGTGAGCCCATAAAATCCAGTCTGGAACTGATAGGTTCCTGTTGCTTGCCCGCCAATTATACTAAAGTTACACTGCGTTTTAGTTTTATCGTCTAATTTCAGTTGACTATAAGCATAGCGAAGATCGATGGTAGAGAAATATGTTGTCCCTGGTTTACCATTACCTTCTTGAGCCGACTGGGCTACATTATCCAATAGTACGTCGATGTTTGGCATTTGATACTTGTTTTTAAGTATCGCTTTGTTAATTTGTTTTGAATCCATTGCTAGTTTTATTGAATGATCTTTCTTTACCGTTATTACGATTGGACTAATAAACTGCTTGTCACTACAGTTATCCAGTTTCACAATATGGCCTTGGTCAATCAAAGATTTGAGTTTTTGTTCGACCTTCTCCTGAATGTGAATCGGAATTCTGCGCCCTTTCTGTTGTAGCGCCTTGAAGTCGTGTAGAAACTTTGTATGAACTTCGTGGTTTTTTGAGCATCCGATGCGTGTGCACAACCCCGGGTATGATGATTTTACCCAATTTGTAATGACCGTGTCTGATTGTTCTGAGTCAGTTATATAATTGATTGACTTACCAGTTGGTTTTTCCTGTTGAAGATGGATCCCTAGTTGCAGTAGGAGATTTCTTCCCAGGATGTTCGCCCGTTTGTCGTCAACCACGACAAATGGCGCGGTGTTGATCGTCCACCCTCCTGGCTCTATAGGGGCAATTAGCCTGCCGAACGCCGGGATTTTGTAACCATTATAGCAGACCATTCTATTAGCTTCGTCGTCTTGATTGATCTGAATGCGTCTGGCCCTTGGCACTGTTTTCTGTAATGTAACCGCTGTTTTATTGTTCACAAATGACGTTGAGGACCCGGTATCTGCAATGAAGGTAATATTATTATTCCCTATCTTAACTCGAATGAGGTGTCCTATTAAGTCGTCCGTCGTTAGTTTTTCTGCCGTTTCTTCGTGAAAGTTCACAGCATTTACGCTGTTGTCATCTGGGTGGATGAGTTCCCATCCCGGAACGACATCCCCTGCCTGGAGATAATCGACATACGCCGCTATATCTGTGTCCTGCATATTTAGTTCGGGATCTGTTTCTTCACTGATTGCATTAACGTTTGAGGAATTACAGAGTCTGGCGTAGTGTCCTCTTTTCGTGCATTTATTGCAGATTTTGTCTTTAGCAGGACAATGTTGGAGGTGACCAGGTCCGAACGGATTACCGCATTTAAAGCAAGATTGTTTTCTGTCTCTGTCCTGTCGTTGCGAGTTTCCCCGCTGTGGTTGTCCTCGACCCCTGTTGCTTCCTCGTTTATTATTGCGGTACGCGTCCCCCCCTCGTCTTTGAATGAACCCAACTGGTTCTGATTTTATGCCCGTTTGTTGAGGAGAAATTGCTGATGATCCTTGCTTGCGTATTTGCAGTTGATTTTCCAAACCTTTTCCCCTGCGTATTGCATATTCAAACGCTTGGTCGGGGGTTTTCGTCTCGGCCAGTAGGTCTTTTTGTACCTCGTCATTTGTCATGTTGGCTGTGAATAAATCTCTAACGATTTCAGTCTCCAGCGTGTTGTTATTGCAATTGGGACATTTGAAGTTACCCTTAATGACCAATTCCGTGAGGCCACAGTGGAACTGCTCAAGAGTTTCCGTCTTGTTTTGCTTTCTTGTGAACGCCTCGTATCGGTCAAATGTAACGTTGCGGTCTTTAATAAAGAGATGTTCTAGTCCATTCCAGAATGCTCTCATTGATGTCTCCTGTATTTTTAGATCAGGGTAGTGTTGATTGAGACGTCTTTGTCCCTCGTTTCCAAGACTGAGGTAAATATAGCTTCTGACTTTTATGTCGGCTTCCTCCCATGGTATTCCGTCCACGGTGGGTCCCAAGTTATCCAATTGGGCACATTGGTTATCCCATTGGATTTTCTTCTCTTGTTTGCGTATGTTTCTGTCCCTGGTTTGTGATTGGGTTTCCCCCTCTATAGGGAGCTCATAACCAGGTTCATGCGGTTTACGCACAGCGGGTGGGTCTCGTAATAGCTTTTGCAAGTTTATTCCGTCTTTTGCGACGATTCCTAAGTAGAGCTGTTGGTTCCATTTCTCCCACTTGGTTGGAGGTTCCGCCGAGGCTTTTTGCCAAAATGGGGCGATACCTAGTGGGTTCTTGGTTGTGAATGCTAGCTGCGCCATGTTATACCGTCAACCGTTAGGTGAGGTATAATCTAGAATCTATGTAATCAAAGTCTATGCTGTTCGCTAACTGAGAATAGAGAGTTAGAAAGGTTGAGAGAACAACTTTAATTCAGTTGATAAAGTTAAGTCTGATTCGAATCTGACCTCGAAATCATGAGAGAGACAGAGACTCATAAATAACTATTGAATATGGTGTTAGGTTTAATAGGTACTTAATTTAGATCAGACATCTATTTGATTACGTTTACATAATGTTACATAAGTATATATGGTTAACGTTTAGGCTAAGAACGATCTATGTAATGTTTTAGGTAGACGGAGTTCTAATCGGTATCCAGTATATCCGTACGGATAACACTCAGATTAAAAACGGAAAAGGATGACCGATAAAGAGTCTAAAGAGTCTAAGTAATTTAGAGTTTGAGTTGATTCATTATCCGAACCGCGTTACAGTAATTCGCAAAGTATTAGATCGGATATGTTCAATATGTTCAAAGATAAAACATTAAGACTATTAAAAAGGAATAAAGGTATTATCAGCAGCTAGCCACCCAAATTTCACGACAAACTCTGCCAATGGCCAGCCGAATTCTTGGAGGAGACCAGTGTTCATACTGCCTATAAACGAGTTTTCGTCAGTATCTGCAACATCGGGGGAAGCGAAGGGCAGAACGCAGAAAAATACCACTAAGATATTAGCGTTTTGAGCATTTTCGAGCCAAACATCAGATATATCAGAGCCAGCAGCAGTAAAACCAAAGAAAACATCATAGCAACAGGTGAGGAATTCAGTCAGGAGGACTGAAAGATAACAAAATAATCCCAACAGAGGAATGTAACAGAAGATTTCATGGTGACCACCACGCAGCCGAAAACAGTAAGAAACACTAGAGCTTCGAATCGGAGTAGGCAGACTAAATTCTTCGGCAGCCCACTACGACACGCGATTCATCAACTCAATGAAGACTTACTATCAGTATCACCGGGTGAATTCTTAACTCATATTCAATCCACAAGCTCAAACCTTATTCCAGTTTCTCCAGGAGTATTATCAGCAAGCCCACCGAAATCTCCAAAAAAGTCAAGAAAGAAGAAAACTTGAGTGAAAGTTTGTTGACGAAAATTTGAGTATTGTTTAATGTATTTTAACCATGAGGGTTTGAAAATTTTTAGGGGGGAAGTGTCATACGGCGTAGTATCCGTATTTCAAGGTCACCCTTTATACAAAAAAGCTAAGCTACAACTTTTAGTTAAGAGCTGTCAGCATTAGTGAGTCGTTCACGGCTGGCCTAGACAAGAGGAACCGGACAAGAATATGATGTTCGCCAAATACCAACGTTCATCATCCATCCTTTAAATTGCAGAAAGATAATTCTAAAAACCCCAGAAGAAATATGATGTTCGCCAGAAACCAACGTCCATCATCCATCCTTCGAATTGCAGAAGAACTATTCTAAAAAACTCTGTAAAACCCGGATATGTGGAACCTGATCTAAACTATATTTTATGATTGGATAAATTGAATATTTTACCACTGTAAAGTATTTAATATTAACCAATCATAATCCATCTAACTAACAACCCACTTATTTGTAAGTGCTGAAATTACTTGTAATTTCAGCACCAGAGAGATTTGAATTTAACTTAGAAATTAGTTGTCTCTCCAAGAGAACTTCAGCAGCCGCAATAAACCAGTATACCCTAGATCTATTGAGCCTAGCAGAGACTAGTTAAACACCCTGAGACTAGAAATTATAAGAGTAAGATTAGGATCGGTATTAGACTAAGAAGTTGCACGAATCTATCCGGCCGAAAAAAAAGATAGCGTGACGAGCAGACGGTGTACCCTATCCGAAATTACTCTATGAGTTAACCACATCGGTTCTAACTCATCTGGTGCGACCATAAGTCTCGAATAAGACCATAATAGCTTCGAACTAACCAAAAATAGATTAGAACTTAGACAAAACATTTTCAAAATGTTATACGATAAAAATTTAATCGAAATGTCTCTACGACTCAATAGATCAGAGCCGATATTCCAAACAATAATAGAACTACCCGGAATTGGAAGAAGACCTCGAACAAGGACGACATACGACAAAGTAGAAACTTACCATTTAGTTTTATGATTGTACGGCAAAAGCCAACACAAACTTTTGTATTTAGAATCTTATTAGCAATAAATTTAGATTTTCATTTGCAAACATAAAATTTTGAAGTCAATCTTCATGATCATATCAGGCGCTAAACAAAATTTTTAATGTACAATAACGATTGATAAAAAGATCTCAGATCGTTTTCTTAATTTCTGCAGTCTTATATAAATCATATTTGAAAAATATTTATTGAAAATGAAAATAAAAATTAGTAGCATGACAATAAATTGTTAGTAATCATAAATCATCTGTTGTCCCAGCTTCATCATCTAAACATAACAGCAATCATAAGCTCACTAATATCATTAAAATACTAAACCTTTTTCTTAAATAAACTTAAACCATTTTAAACTTAAATTAGCTTAATTTTAAAATCAGATCATCAAGGCTTATCCTTGGATCTTAATTAATTTTCTATTTCACTAAATTTAAAACCTGATCATCAAGGCCTATCCTTGGATCAAAAAGAAAAATTTGGTTCTCCCCCACCCACTTAGCAAGTGTCTAACGACCTCAAACGTCGATTCACTATCCAACCCTTCCAAAAGACCCAAGATTAATAGAAATTTTTAAATAAAACTAACCATTAAAATTAAGATAAACAGTGAAGAACTTCGGTTATTCATCCTTCACTTGAACCCTCCTCTTACCAGACCCAGGATAGATCTTAGACTTAGTAAGTTTAAAATAGTATCTAACGAACTACTTGCGTTCTACTTATACCTGAACCTTGTGGATCGATTTACTATTCTCCAACCCTTGAACACAATCACTACCCCTAAGTAAGATTAAGTAAGTTAACACCTTAGCTTAGACTAGCCACGAGAAAGTAAAAAATCATTCTTCGGAATCGATATACTTTTCTCTCCAACCCTAAATAAAAAGACCCAGGTTAAGCTAACCAAAAAATCGTAAGGACTAACAGTCTAAGAAAATAGAAATACCTAACAACTTTTTGCATCCCTCATCCTAAACCTTATGTCATTCAAAAATCTAGGAAACAAGCAAACAATCGTTTTACACAACTGTGAAATAGATAACAAAAATACGATCTTGTAATCACACCTCATATACAAACAGTTGGATACATTAGAACAAAACGACAAACAATAAAAAGAAAAATTATAAACAAACAAAGACAAATCACACAAAAAAGATTTTCAAAAAATAGAAACGCATTTTCTGAATCAGAAGCCAGCAGTTTAGATGAACGCTACAAATTAAAAGAATCAATTGATAAAAGTTGTCCCTTTCACGATCAATTATTTTTTTCCGATTCAGAAACAACTTCAAATTCATCAAAAAGAGGAACAAGAGGAAAAAGAAGAATAAAAAAGCAATACAAACACAAACCAGTACACCTGTATAACTGGAATCAACCATTTACACACATTGATAGCTATATATCAACAGTCATCAAACGAAAAAATGAGCCACACTCACAGTGACGATAGTCCAGATGACGAAGAGGTTTACCCCTTCCTCATAGATTCACCCGATCATAGAGGGCAACATGGTTTTTGCAAGAATTTACTCGTAAATTTGTTTGAACCCGGAATCAGTCCATGCAAAGCAGAATTCCCAGATGTAAAAATCAAAAGACAAATTATTGAACATTATTTGAAAGATATATGTAACTTAACACAACAATATGGAATCTACACCATAGAATTCAGCACACCAAATACGAATCATCATAAATATGTAATTTAAACAGATGATCTTGAATTAGAATTTTCAAAAGTATTCCTAGAATATATCAAAAGCATACAATATCATAATTCACAAAGAGCAAACTCTATATTCACTAATGAAGTTTTTGCAATAATATATACCTATATCTCTATATTAGAAAAAACAGAATTTCAAAATATCTCACCAACTGAAATATCCAAACATACAAAAGTACGAAATGAAAATGCATTATTTTCAACTTTTTTACATATAATCAAAGAAAATTTCACTAAAGATGATGTTTCACAACACACTAAACATGACTTACAAAAAATTTTGGCATGGTTTATAATAGATTATTTCACACATAAGTTAGACTTAATTTCACAAGCAAGAAAAAATGTCAGACCACAAAATTCAAATGATGACACTGCCATTACAGAACAATCAGACTACGTTTGGGACCCTGAATGGTCTCATCCTTTATTTATAACTATCCCACAATCTATCTCAAGTCAAGCAATAAGTACAATATCTTATCACAGAGATTATGTAAAAGTAATACCATTAACCATTGATGCAACACCATTAAACTACAATACATTTTTACCTGATACACAAAATATTAGTTTAAATTCGACCGTCATACACAATGAAAACCTTAATGGAACTAGAAATCTTACACAACAAGATATTCAAACACCATCACACTTCATAAATGAAGAAATTGTCCAAACAACAACAACTACACAACAAAGTATTTCACCAATAAACCCAAATTTAACAACACCAAGAAATACAAAATACTTCACTGGCACAAGTAACCTTACAATCAACCGTTAAACCTTCGGTTGCTCCAAAATATTCAAATATGGATTATCAAACATATAGACCAATGACAATACCGTCAAAAACACGAAAATCATTCACAAAAAACACCTTTGCAGAACATAATTATAATTATGCTCACAAACAAAGAACAAATCAACCTCCCCGAAAAAACACACAAAATTTAAATCACGTATGTTTTCATTATTGGAATCTCCCGAAAACATCGACAAATTCGGTAAATTTTCCAGATAATCCACAACCTACACAGGATTATACTGAAAATTACCCATTCTTCCAACAAAATAAAAATAACCAACATACACTATTCAATAC